AATATGAATATACAAAAATATTCTTGTTTTCAGCTCGCCCCCCCATTTTAATTTCCTGCCTCCTCATTCCCAAGCCACCTTGGAAAAACTGATGATCAACCAAGTATTAAAACAGTTGAGTTACTGAAGTTGGCTTTTGGGTAATGGCCAAGATGTAACTGGACTGTGTAGGCTGAATTACCCTCTAGAAGTGGCCACCTCGGATTTGAAGTGCTTTGCTAAAACAAGACAGGGAATCTGGCACATCTACTGTTCTGTGGTGTTGGAGGGCACAGGTCTTGTGTCCAGAATAACCAGTTTCTCTCCTTCAACACAGAATAATAAACAGCAACACACTTTGTGGTTTGTTCACTTCTGATCGGATTCCCCTACACCTGTATAAAGATGTAGATACCTGTCTCAGCAGTGCAAGATGGGGGGGGGAAATGTGGATAGTCTTGTTAGTTTTGAAGTGCTGTAGTTTTTGTGGTCCCATATGGGTTGGGTCTGGCTGGGATGGAGTTAACTTTCCCCCTGGCAGCCCCCATAGTCTCTGTGCTGAGCGGTGCTTGCAAAGCATCAAGGCTGTCTCTCCAACATTCCCCCTTCACCAGTGGGCTGGGGGGTGGGCAACATCTTGGCAGTGGACATAGCTGGGACAGCTGACCCAAACTGACCAAAGGGATATTCCATACCATATGGCATCTGCTCAGGAATAAAAGCTAAGCGAAACAGGGTGGGGCACAGTGGAAGGGGGGGGCATTCATTGTTTATGATATTTGTCTTCTGGGGCAACCACTATGTCTACTGAAGCCCTGCTTCCTGGGAAGTGGGTAGACATCGCCTGCTGATGGGAAGTAGGGAGTAACTCTTTTGTTTTCCTTTGCTTCCATGTGCATTCTTTACTTTTGCCTTTATTAAACTGCCTTTACCTTGACCCTCAAGTTTTTTTCCATCTTATTTTCTCCTGCTCCCTGTTCTGCTGAGGAGGGGAGTGACAGAGCAGCTTGGTGGCACTTGACATCCAGCCAGGGTCAGCCCACCCCAGTCCTCTACAGCCGCCCGAAAGGAGAACTGGGGCTTTACTTTATGCCTCAGGCTCTACTTGGCAATATCCTTTCTGTGCATATCAAAAAAAACGCACCACAAATAAACCAGAAAATGCCTAAAAATACGGTAGTGGGAGAGTCGTCTAAAATATACCAGTGAGAAGATGTGCGGCTGTGCTTTGCTGGGTTAATGTGAATGCTGAAAACTTTAGTTTTATTAGTTAAACAATGACGTTTGAATCAAGCATGTAAGGACCTGTGCCCGTGTCCTTTAATGCTGGATTACAGAGCTGAGGAAGAGGCGCTGGCACCAGGACTATTATGTTGACAGTTCTTTTTTCTGTATCCCTGAGACCTGGGAATAATAACTTTTGTTAATTTTTTTGATATCTTTTTGTTTCCATAGAAACTTCCTTTCTTCGATGGTCCTTTGCCCAGTGAAGCTTGCTCCTCATCTAAAGCAGGACGTGCTGCTTCAAAAACACCGATGCTCAACACTCCTCAGGATTACGAAGGGGACCCCGCTCCTGGCTTGAGCAACGGCGCCTCGGCAGGGGATACAGAGGCGATGTCAGGTGGGGACCACCAGCCCAAAGAGAACCTGTCTCGCCACCAGGACCTCCGTCGCCTCCGCGACGCCATTGACACTTTAGCCTCCGCGGCGAAGGCTGGGGAGCCGCAGCACCACTGCTCAGCTCCGAGAACTGTGTCCCAGGACCCAGGCGCTCGTGGGGGTGAGGCGTGAGGGAGCTGTGCCCCCCCCCCGGGGGCGCAGACCCTCCCTGACCACTGACAGCTAAGCCTGAGGACCTCTGCTTGGGGGGAGCGGTGCTCGCGGGAGAGGAGAGCCTGCCTTTGGGTTGGTTCGCATCGTTTTGCGGCTCGCAGGAGGAAGGTGCGTACGGAGCTGCCCAGGAGGCTGCCTTGAGCTCGGGTAAACCTTTCTCAGTGGCAACACGCGGTGTGTTTAAGGCTTAGGACTGCCTGCCAGGACTGGTATTTCAAGCTGAAAGAAATCTCAGCCAATTAACTGGGGTTTAGGAGTTGTGCAGCGTTTATAACTGGAGTAGGAGAGACCCGATCCGTTTATTCTCAGTGCAAGGTCATTTTAAAATGATAAAAAAAACTTCATCTTAAAATGAGGAAGAAACCCAACCTCCCTTTTCGTAGCTGTGAATGAATCTCTGCATGGACCCTCACCTTGTGGCAGAACTGATTCATTTTTTTGTTTCCTATGCATATTGAACAAACCAAACCCCCCTGTGCCTTTTTATGGAGACCGTTTTAATGTCTAGCCACGCGATGTGCTATTTTTATTATTGTAGCGTAGGGTGTAGTAGTTGGGTCTTCTTTGTAGTCAGTATTTTTAAACAAGGTTTTTTATCTGCTGCCGGCTTCTCCAGGATCTTTGCCAATCCCTTGAGTTTAGTAGCTTCTTTCTAAGCTGACCTTTCAAAGAGTAAGCTTTTGTGGACCTCATTTACTGGCTGGTGAGAGTGCAGCAAGCCACAAAGACGGCCGGTAGCACGTGTATTTTCGACAGAGGGAGGGTTAGAAATGAGAAAAGACAGGAAAAATTCCATATAAATTCTTTGCTCTCTTGTTTTATGATCTTGGTTAAACCAAAGCAAGACACTAACTCTTTGTTCTAAGCCGGGGTCCATCTGCTTCCCTCACATCCATCGATGAGGCAATAATTACAGATGAGTGTGTGTTCTATTATTGAAAGGGGGCCTAAACCGGTCGCTTCCCATCATGTGCTGAGCGATTACAGCGAATGTTACCTTGGATGTTAAAACTACATGAACCTCAGAGGTGTTTTGTCTGTCCTGTCAAGACGTGGTGAGGTGAGCAGTATCTCTCATGGCAGTGAACTTTGTCATTTGGTGAAGCTGGTGACAAAATGCCAGTCAGGATGTGACCCCTTGTTGGAGCGAGAAGGGGACAGCTTGGCTTGTGGCTGTGGCTCCAGCTTGGACTCACTGTAGTGCTCACTAACGCCACTTGGTGTCTGTCAACTGCAGTAATCTCAGCTGGAGATCCTAGTTCAAAGTTGCAGGTTTAAAACAGAGACGTATATTCCACTTACGGAGAAGGGAAGCAGCAAGGGCTTGTCTCCCCAGGGAAGTGGATGGCCCAGGAAAGCTGTTCCACAGTACTTGTTCTGGATGAGCTTCTAGAGATGTGCTTAATTGCACAGAGAGTCCCTTTGGGCCGCTTAATTCGAGATGCTTTTCTGCTTTCTTTTGGATCCTGTTGTTTAACTTCAGTGCTGCCATTAGGTCTTAAAATCAGATTTTGCTCTTGTGTAAAGTTTTGAAACAAACTGAGAATGTTTTCTCAGTTAGCCCTCCCGATCTACAATAAAAGGTAGAAACATTCCATTATAGCATCATAAAATGCAACAGCCCTTGTTCACATCACCTGTGGTGAAATGATAAGGTTAGTTTCGGTGTTCAGGATAAAGTAGAAAAGAAAAAAAACCAAACAACAAACAAACAACTCCCCTGAGTGTCTCACTTTGGGTGACAAAATATATATTTTATTAAGCCTATCAGAAGACCCAAGGAAAAAGGGCAGTACCTGAGAACACAGAGTTTCTTCAGTCCCTAGAATGGCACAGAGAAACTTTTTTTAACGTTGGAGGTTTTTCAGTCTCGGAGCAGGTAACGTAGTTGTTTTCAGCAACGGCCGCGTACAATTACTTTAAAAACCAAGCCCATAAAACAGTGAACCAGGTGTGCTTAACAGGAGGTGTTGGGAATGTGTTGGGTGGGTGCGTGTCAGAAATAGCGCATCGTGCAGCCGCTACACGTTTTATTTAGAAGGATGCTCGTTTCTGAACGCGTCTTTTCTCCATCTCAAGTATCTGCTGTTGAGTCTCTTTGCTCCTAGCGAGACCTGCGAAGCTCCTAACGTTCACTTAGAGGGTCTGCCAGCCTTTTGAGTTTGCCATATCCATGTACTACTCGAGCGAAGAGATGGCACCCCGAGTCTGAATCCGGCTGCTCTACGTAGCCGGGGTTCGGAATCTGCTGTGGATTTCCACTGGAGGGTGCTGGGGAGATGATTTCCCTTTCCCTCTGCGTAGTGTAAGAGCTCAGTTTCACACGTGCGCTTTGCCGTTTGGAGCCTGTTGCACACGGACTGATCGATCAGCCCTGGCTTTTCTTTGGAGGTGGTAGAAGAGTGTAGTGGGTGGCACGCGTGGCTTCCTCAGGAGAGAACTCTACAGTGGTAAATGAGACCAAGACAGGCACTTTTTAGGACCAGTTGTTCTAGATGTCATCAGTTCTTTTAATCTGTTCGCCAGTGCAAGTTAGAGATAGAGCTGTAAAACAATTTTGACTGACTACTGAAGGATTCCGACATACCGATGGTTAATCTTTGCATGAAAACATTCTGCAGAAGGTTTCTATAAATGTTTACACATTCCCTTGCCTTTTGAATTACCATAGATTACCTTGGAAAAAGTATAGTCTCTGCTTAGCCCTAAAAGGTGATGCTGACATCTCCACAAATCCTCCTTGCCTACAATATTACTACAGGTGCATATAACGGTGAAAAGATGACTTTGGACACTCAAAGTATTAGTAAGCTCTTAGTAATCTTGCTGCTTTTGGCTTCAGTAACAAAACAATGGATGAGTTTGTACTTTGAAATGCAAAACCTAGCCAAAAAAGAAAAAGGGTAATGATCTGTCTTTTTAAACCTTAAGGTATATAAACGTGGTCAAACTCTACAAGATAGTACAAAAATCCTTCGTTCTGGTGCTGTAAATTTACAGAGCTGAAAAAGATTCCAGGGTTTCCTGGCTTTCCCTGAGCTTATTTGCTTGAAAATCCATGAGCTAGAAGCTTTTTAGTTTTGAGGTAACTCTTGTGTGTTTCAAGACCAAAAATGAGGAGCTGCTCGGAGCACTGCGGCGTGTCCCTCAGGTCTCTGGTCGGCTGGGACTGGCTTCCCAGCGCCCTGCAGAAAGCCTGTGTTGACTCCTTACGGAGAGCCCTGCTGGCAGCGGCCAGTGACTCGATTCTGTTGTTCCCTAAAAGTGTTAAAGGAAATCTCGAAGCTGTTACGTAGGAATCTTCTTATGTAGGTGAAAAGTTGCTGTAACTTATTTATTCCTAGTGGAGCATCCGTGTGTGGTGAAGCCACGAATAACTGGGTTTTATTGGGGGCTGTTAAGTGAACAATGCAACTTGCTGCTTTCCATTTGGATTCCTCTGACTGGGAGGGAAGAGGGGTCCTGTTTGCTGTGGGTGGGCTCTGTTGGTGGAAAAACTCTTGCTTTTCTGGAGCACCTCTTGCTTTACCAAGCTGCTCCGTGGTATCACGCCTGTACATCGTGTCTCTCTTGCTACAGACAGGTACAGCATTGCAGCAGGCAAGCGCCTGTAGTATTCTGTGGTAAAGCTGCTACTTGGAAGTAGAAGAGGGGCTCGTGTCGCTTTATTTCTGGGTGGAAATGTCTTTTGTGAACTTCACGTTGCTGGAGTCTTACACCGTCCTTGGTTCTGTGGTTGTCAGCTGTGGTAGAGGAAAACCCAATCGCTGCTGTTTGCTTTACAGGAAAAAGAAAAAAAAAAAAAGGGAATCATTGGTTTGCCCATAGATGCTGTAGTTCCCAGCTGGCCATCTTTTTTTGGGGAGAGAAAAAGCAGTTTGTTAAAGCCTGTAGGCACAGGACGCTTCTAGCTGCGCTGCTCTTGGTGAATGCCTTTCATTGACGTGCTTAGGGGGAGAACCCACCTGCTAGGTGGGTGCTCACCGGTACACGAAGCTCCCCTGACCGGGGTGGGGGGGAGAAGGAGACTCGCTTGCAGGTAGCTGCTGAGCTTCAGTGAGCTGCTCCAGTCCTGGTGAGAGAGGCTGGCTGGGAGCGGACGGCGCGCAGAGCTTGGCAGGATCTCTGCCTTCAGGTAGACCTGGTTGGCGCCTGTACATCGTGTCCCACCTTGGTGAAGATCTCCACCTTGGTGAAGGGCCCCGTGTTGTGTGTCCATCAGGTTTGGAGATGGTGAGCCCTCAGAGCGCCGCCCTTGCATCTCACAAAGCTGTAGCACCTGCAGGGAAGGCCTTGAAAAGAGCTCTTGAGCCGGACGCCGCTTCAAGTTCACCTTCTGGCAAAACTGGGCTTTGCGTAGCTTCAGTGCCCGAAAGGGACCGTTTCTTGGCCCTGGTTAGTAACAAATCCTCACGCGTGACCAGAACTCAAGATGTGTCTGCTGGTTGGCTCTTCTCCCCTTCCCCACCCCTCTGCGGTGAGCGCCGGGGTCGTTTTTTGTGCGGACCTCACACAGTGACCCTTGTTGGCCTGCTGTCCCTCGTGCACGTAGGGGTGGAGTCGGGGGAAGAGTCTGTTCTGAAGGTAGTAGGTTTTGTTTCAACTGATACGCAACGCTTGATTAATTAGATGAGGAATGTCTCAGACCAGGTGATGTTAAAGTCCACGTTTGCCTGAGCATCTTCCGCACTAAGAGCAGCCGGGTCGGTGCCAGCCGCGCTCGCTGTGAGCTGTCAGGGCGGGTACTTTAACGTACAGCGCCGCGTCCTTTTGGCATCTCTGAGCCACCGAAGCAGTGCAGGAAGAGGGTAGGGCAAAATGCCGGACCTACAGCTCCCCTCCTGTGGTTTATCCGTGTATATCCGTCTGTGTTTAATGTAGCAGCATACTACTGGAGTAACTTGTAGCACTGGATCTAGCCGTGCGTCGCCGAGCGCGCGGATGTACTTCTCCTGTCA